CAGAGGCTTTTACACACAGGGGGGTTTGCACAAAGAGGCTTTTACACACAGGGGCTTTTACACACAGAAGCTTTTACACACAGGGGCTTTTACATACAAAGGCTTTTACACACAGAGGCTTTTACACACAGGGGCTTTTACACACAGAGGCTTTTACACACAGAAGCTTTTACACACAGGGGCTTTTACACACAGAGGCTTGTACACACAGATTCTTTTACACACAGGGGCTTTTACACACAGAAGGCTAAACAGCAGCTAATTATGACATCCAGGCTTCCCATATGATACCTGGAAGCTCCATTACAAGGAAATTTGCACCTCAAAGGCTACCACCAAGAAGGCTAAACAGCACCTAATTATGGCACCCAGGCTTCCCACATGATGCCTCCAGTGGCAAGGCTGGAAGCTCCATTACAAGGGGGTTTGCACCTCAAAGGCTACCACCAAGAAGGCCAAACAGCAGCTAATTATGACATCCAGCCTTCCCATAAGATACCTCCAGTGGCAAGCCTGGAAGCTCCATTACAAGGGAATTTGCACCTCAAAGGCTACCACCAAGAAGGCTAAACAGCACCTAATTATGGCACCCAGGCTTCCCTTAAGATACCTCCAGTGGCAAGGCTAGAAGCTCCATTACAAGGGGGTTTGCACCTCAAAGGCTACCACCAAGAAGGCTAAACAACAGCTAATTATGAGATCCCAGGCTTCCCATATGATACCTCCAGTGGCAAGCCTGGAAGTTCCATTACAAGGGGGTTTGCGCCTCAAAGGCTATCACCAAGAAGGCCAAACAGCAGCTAATTATGAGATCCAGGCTTCCCATATGATACCTCCAGTGGCAAGCCTGGAAGCTCCATTACAAGGGGATTTGCACCTCAAAGGCTACCACCAAGAAGGCTAAACAGCACCTAATTATGGCACCCAGGCTTCCCACATGATGCCTCCAGTGGCAAGCCTGGAAGCTCCATTACAAGGGGGTTTGCACCTCAAAGGCTACCACCCAGAAGGCTAAACAGCAGCTAATTATGACATCCATGCTTCCCATAAGATACCTCCAGTGGCAAGCCTGGAAGCTCCATTACAGGGGGATTTGCACCTCAAAGGCTAC